ATAGCTAGGACTACTAGGACAGGCCCTACTAACTAGGATGTTAAAGATCCTACAAATAAATGTTAATAGAAGTAGTTCTGCTACTGAGAGCGCGCTAGACCTAGCTATTAAAGTAGACGCCAAAATCGTCGCAGTACAGGAGCCCTGGCTACTCAAGAGATCCTCCTACTCAAGCACTAGATCTATCGCTCACCAGAACTTTACTCAGATACTACCTACCCTAGAGGACTCCTCCTTAAGGCCTAGAGTACTCTTCTATATTAGGAAAGATCTAGAAGTAGAGGTTATTCCTTTTATTAGCAACGATAACGACTTTCTAGCTATTAAAGTACTAGCCTCTACTTCTAACTTCTATATATATAACATTTATAACGAGAAAAGCCTTCTAGAAGGCCAAAATAAGACGACAATCCAGAGGCGCCTCCTACAGGAGACTCTACAACCTCAGTCAATCATCCTAGGAGACTTCAACACCCACCATCCTAGGTGGAGCCTAGAGGAGCGCAGCCCTAGTACACTAGCGGAGGAGCTAGTAGATTGGATAGACGCGCAAAATCTCACTCTACTAAATACTCTAGGGGTAGGCACCTTCTTTAGGTCTCATATGCGGAAAGAGAGCGTACTAGATCTTACTTTTGCAACCAATAATATAGCTGCTAGTATCCAGGACTGGCAGACTATACCTAAAGTAGGATCTGATCACCACGCAATACTATTTAGTACCTATACTACTAGCCAGCTACCTAGTCAGCTGCCTAGCCAGCTGCCTAGCCAGCCAAAACAGTATAATACTAAACGAACGGACTGGACGATTTTCAAGGAGACGCTAGGACAGGAGATCAAAGCCCTAGATCTAGAAAAGCGACTGTCGACACTACCTCCTTATTCAAACTACACCTCAAGAAAGCTTATTCTAGGACAAAATATCGCGCTAGAAACTAAGCTAGATAAGCTAGGAGAAGATCTTACGAAGGCTATACAGAGCGCACTAGAAAAGTCAACTCCACTAGTCAACCTAAAGCCAAAGACAAAGCCCTGGTGGACTAGCGAGCTAGATAGCCGTAGGAGAGAACTAAGTAGAGCCTATAGAGCCTACAAGAAGGAGGTAGAAAAGGAAAATAATAGCTCTCTCTACCAGTGGAAAAGAGAGTATCTACGTACGAAAAATGGATACTTAAAAGCTATTCAACGAGCTAAGCAAAGCCACTGGGAGGC